AAAGAGTGTCCCCCTTGGAATGCAACACTGACAAAGACTTTACTGCACTGGAAACAGCCCCGCGAACTAAAACCATATACACATAAAGCAATTTATTTCACTTTGTAGTGGCGCAGAGGAACCGAAGCCTTTGGACAGCCACTTCCTGGGGAAAGCTCAAGATGTGTTACTGCCACTGGCAGGATCAGACATGAACTAAATATGCTAAAGGAATTTCTTTTACTTTTTTTTTGATATACCTGTTCCTATTGTCATAAAGGCATAATGTCATACAGGAACAGCTGCACTGTTCATAGATAGAGGAACCGTTTCCTTTCACTTATCTTTTGTTATGATTTTGAGCATGGCTGATTTGTGGATTTATGGATTCTTTTTTGAATGACAATTAATAATTGGGAATAAATTCAGTCCGTATTGCATGATTTGGAATTGGTAATCAGTTGCAAAACGCAACGCTCCACTAAGAGCTTTGTTGTTGCTGTTGTTTTTAAAGAATGATGATCCTGCGACAGTCCTACTCACCGTGAGAATATTTTCCAGTAGGTCTCCAATGTAGTTTAGCCAAAAAACAAGACAAACTACACCCCCCACCACACACACACACACACACACACACACACACACACACACACACACACACACAACCCGGAAGTACTTGATGAAGTGATTTCATTTTTGCCGAACAAGTTGCTTTTGTTGCTGTATGGAAAATGTATATCATGTATATAGTATTGGTTTCTGTTCAGCATTTAGGAGCTTATACATAACATCTGATATTATATTCACATTACTGAGCTTCAGCGCGAATAACAGGGTCCAAATATCGCCTATATATAACTCATTTAGTTAAACTGCACCGTGCCCATGTTTGACGTGCACGCTCCTTGGCAACTTTGCTGTGCTGTGTGGATGTTTTGAATATTTTTCTGGAAGAGGCTGTACCTACACACCTTCATTAAACCAGAAAACGTGACCATACGTATTAACGATAGTAATTGTGCACTGCATAGTTTAAATCGGTTGCCTTTCATCCGCCCGGCAGTGACACAAACTGGTTGTGGGAATGGAAATGTCTTTATTCAACTTGCACGTGAGATAACACATATTCGATCCCTGTCCTCGTGTGCACTGTCTTACTGTAAAGATGCACATAAAGAGTCTGCAGTCTGTCGTCATCTCATACGGTTATCCTTCACCTTCTGTCGGTCTGAGGAGTTGGTCTTTTACTTGTAGCCTAATTCATGATCTGAACTGTAAGTGCATTTTTACCCTAAAACTGCATTTAGGAGAGGTAAACCCTTTTTTCCAGTGGGATCTGTATAAAGGCTGTAGGCAGCAGATTAAAGGCTACATCCTTAATAACAATCAAATCAACATGGAGCGTCGGTGCACTGCGGCGGCGCGGATACACCAGAACTGTGACCCACTCTCTCCTCTTGTCAGATAGCATTCACTTGAAATAAAACTACTCAAGGCGGTGCTAAACATCTTATCTCTTAAGCCAAAACCATGCTGTCCGCTTCAGTGACGCCTGTGAGCATGCGACCTATAGGCCTTTTGCATCATGCTGCACAAGCACAATGTGTATTTGTTAATATTTTATGAATGGAAAACCTAATCATGTCATAGAGAATGACGTATGCTGTCGCGGAATGATAGCATCAGGTTTGAGCATCGCTGTCGATTGGTTCAATCGTTATAAATTTAAAAATGACTTTGCATTTGAGGTGTAGGACCTATTCCGTGTGTCCCTGACTTGCACCTGTCTTGAAAACACAAAATTGGCTCCATGTAATCTTGGAGTATCTAAAGATAAACTGTAAAGACTTGAGAGGCGATATTGTGATTTTGGACTATATAAATAAAAGATACTGTGATACAGTAAAACCTAGCAGTAGGCCTGATAAGTGCCGACGTGACTTGGGTTTAGATAGAAATGGGGCCCATATAAAAGCAAAGTAATCCAGATGCTTCGTATCATGTGTCACCTTCTGAACTTTGAAATCTAACAATTTTTTATTGTTTGTTTTATACTTGTGATGCTGTTTTGTTTACCATAGCACAGATGAAGAAATGAACATATAGAATATAGAAATCGATGCAACAGGTTTTGTTTTGGCAGTGTGATCTTTGAATTGTCTGGTCAGCAACTCCAGCTGTTTTAAGAACAGAAGTAAAAGGCAGGAAATACAGGAAAAAGAAACAATGGGAAATGTACTGATGTTATTTTTATTGGCATTAAATATGAATAAACGGGTGAAATAGATGCGTTGTAAAAAAAACGGTACTTCTTATTAATGGACACACACACACACACACACACACAACACACACACTATTTTCCTATGGCATACAACACAATGTAACAAATTTCACTGCATTACTCTGAACATAAACACAGACTATATAACGTAATAATGATCACGTGTTACGGCAGTAAATGTTCATTGAGCTTTGTTGTTTTCCTTCGTCTTTAATGGCAACGGTGGAATAAACGGGCTTGGATCTTCAACCTGCAGAAAACACACAACTGTAAAATCATCTGATTTAAGATGAGGCAAATTTTGTAAGCGGCTTCATTTGTGTAAACACGTGGATACATATTTGACTCGCCACAGACGTGCGTCTGTCAGCGCACACCAGGATGCCGTGTGGCGTTATCCGGGTTATGGTCTGATGTCTAGTCTTTTAAATTTCATGGTTGAATCTGACCACGGCAGCCAGGACAGACATGGCTCCACCGAATGGGTGTTTCTGATTTGTTTTGTGCGCTGCAGTCCACATTGTGAGTATTATAGCAGTTATTGGTAAGAAACAGTTTTGACCAAAGTTGAATTTAGGCTAAGCGGTGACGTTAAGATCAGTTTTGTCTCCAAGACGTTTTTTTTTTTATTTTCCTATCGATGCACCACATGCGTTAATTGTCACTTGTTCTCTCTGCTTAAACTGTGACTTCATATTTTTCCATTTCTGGAGCACAGTGCACCCAGTCTGAGATCATTTCATCATGGTGGTATGTGGCTTCTTGGGCTGCAGTATATTTCACTGTCACACACACAACGACTGTGTTCACACCCATTCATAGAGCTTCTTCCTCTTAAAATGTGCTATTTAATTATAAACTGTCTTACTCTTTTCACTGGACCACAGTAAAAGAAATAAAATGACAAACATCAAAATAACAATTACGCACACTATTATACATGTTGCACAAAATAGTCAAAACCCAGCCAAAACCTTCGAAGGAATATGTATGCATACACATACGATGAAGACTAATCGCAGTTGTCCCTCATCAGCATCACCGTTTCCCACAAATCTGCTCCTGCAAAGTCACCACAACACAGAATTCATCGTGTGCTTTTTCTATAGCCTATTGTCCTGCAGCTTTGCTGTTCTCTACCCCATTCAGTCTGCACAAATGCACTGAACTTTCCGCAGCCTATTTATTCACAATTAGTCTAAATGTGTTCCCCATGACCCCGGTGACTTCTTTGGTTACTTCTACTTCATCGTATTTTGTATTATGTTATTTGCTGGAACCCTGCATTAAGATCCAGGGTTGTTTCACAGCCTACTGCCTGACCAGCCTCACTCGTATAATGCAGGGCAAAACATTAAAGTCGTGCCATTAGGTGTCACATTAACATCATTATATTCATCTAGTTAGACCTTTAACGAACCTTTTTACCTTCTCTACTCTGCATCCCCTCTTTCTTGTCTTCGGCCTGTCTTGTTTGATATAAATGTGTACACATGGATACTCTAATATTGGTTTTATGTTGAGATAGAAACTTGGATGCGGTCTTATTAACGACACGTTTATGAACAATCAAATGGTCCTCGTTAAAATTTATTGATGGGCATAAAATCATGAACGGTCACTAGCCGAATATAACTGGCAGTAGTGGGCTGCTTGTCAAGGATCTGAATCTTCTCCTCTCCTATCTCCTCAGACACCGTGTAGGAAATGTCTGCTCTGCTGCTCCCTCGTTAAAACCCTGCAAAATTTATTGTATTGTTGTATCCTGCATTTCATATTTTGATTCCCTCTCTGGTCTGTCTAGCCTACGTGTAGCTTTATGGTGAAAGCCTCTCTTTGTCTTTAAGAAATAAACTGCATTCCGCATCAAAGTATAAACCTTTGCCTTTATCAAATGTAGGTTTGACAGAGATAAAACGCGTCAACGATTCAATAAACACTTTAATAATGTAATACTATCCCTTCCAATAACATGAGGATAAGGTATTTTTGCCAGACAGAGATTGATTACATCATTAAATAGTTCCTCGCTCGGTTTTGGACGTAATGTGCGCAGGACTGTTCTGCGACAAGACAAAGACCCACAGTAACACTACAACGGCACATTTTGTTCATAAAGAAACATGGTGGATGAAATTACCTCTATAGGTCCAAGAAAAGAGCAAAAGAGCACGTTCTTTAATCCGATTTATGTGCACTGGCATCCCAGGGTAAGTGGCGCATTGATCCACTGTACAAATTTTGTGGGGGTAAATATAATCACGTGTGGGTGAGGCAGCCAATAGCAGCCAGGGAAGCGCTGAGAAATAATTACCTGCCTTGATTGTTCTATGGCCAGATAAAAAAGTACACATTCACTCCATATAATAATCGGATGCATGTAAAAGAGTCTGGGAAGCTTCGACATGTCGACCACGGGTCCCATAAGTAATTATTATGTGGACTCCTTGATCAACCATGAAAACGAGGATGTCCTTGCTGCAACTCGGTTTTCGGCGCCCGTTTCGCACCCAGCCGGCCCTCGTCCGACGTCCCTAGTACCGGAGTGCGCTGACTATCCTTCCTGCAGCTTCGCACCCAAGCCACCCGTCTTCTCCACCTCCTGGGCCCCTGTACACTCGCAGTCATCTGTGGTTTACCATCCATACAGCCACCAACCTCACTTAGGCACAGACTCGAGGTATATGCGGTCATGGCTGGAGCCGATATCAGGCGCCGTGCCTTTCCATGGCTATCCGGGGAACAGCAGGCACTATGGGCTGAAGCCCGACGCCTTTCAGGAGCACAGAGCCGGTGAGTGTCTCGGCCCCGGCGGACGGAGCTACACGGATTATCTGTACTGCTCATCCACTGACACGCGAGACAAGACGCAGCAAAATATCCCCTCTCCCGAGTCGGAGCTCCTGGCTTCAGGGAAACATAAAGAAGAGAAGCCGGAGCTAGATCCCAGTAAGTTCGACTGCAGTCTCTTACAGCCGGGTGGGAGATTTGATTAGGCTTCTGTAAAACTGCTTTTTGCTTAGAGTCATTTTAAGGTCCTGCATAAAGTGAAATTATAACATGTTCCACCCTCCCTTTTCTGCTCAGCCCCGAATCGTCTCTGCTAGGGGGAAAGCTTTAGGAACTATAAAAGACAAACGCTTCTAGGCTAATATTGGGGCTATAAAACAGACAGGGTTGTAAACATGGACCCAAGCCTGCAGGAAGACGTTGAATTTGGAACCATGTTGCAAAATGTGAAAAACATGCAAGGTGCTCTTTTTAGTGACCAACCTAAACCAACGTCTGAATCAATATTCATCCGTAAATGCATTTTTATGACCATATTTTGACCCCGTGCCATCACATAAGCGCTAAAAGCTTTCAGTCCTGGTTTTTAAGTAGGCCCATCCTATGAGGAAAAGCCACATTTTGGCTCTGTTTGATGCCCTGTAATAAAAGACATTATTCTGCCACATAATAACGAGACCATTATATGCATATAATTGGCGTATATATATGAACATTTGCTCTCCTATTTGGGTCCAAAATAAATTCACACGACTTTTCCAGCCAGCTTGAGGAATGTAGGGACATACTGGAGGACTTTCACCACGGACCTGTAAAGGCTGAAACTACGGGCCATTTTATGGGCCAATAAAGTGAATAAGCGCATTGAGGTATTTTACGACGGTGTTACTCACAAGTTAAAGGGACAAGGAAGCAAATCATTGTAGGCTTAGGTTATCTAAGGCTGAAAACCTTTCTTCAAACTATTTACTCTCAGCTCAGCTCTAATGGGAAACACCAAACCTGAGTATGATTTGACATTGTTTTCATTTGTAGCAGCCCCTGATGAGCCTACAGAATTGTTGTAAATCCAGACGCACATTTTCGAAAGGCTTAACACTCATGGCGTAGTCAGTCATCTGTCATTGTTTTAGTTGTGAAAATGTCAGTGTTGCCCCAGTTCATGTGCTCCTTGTTATTATTACTGTTATTATTATTATTATTATGGTTGTTGTTGTTTTTATTTGCAGATAATCCTGTGGCAAATTGGATACATGCCCGCTCCACAAGGAAGAAGCGATGCCCTTACACTAAATACCAGACTCTCGAACTGGAAAAGGAGTTTTTGTTCAATATGTACCTTACTAGAGACCGCCGATACGAGGTCGCTAGGGTCCTGAATCTGACCGAGAGGCAGGTCAAAATCTGGTTTCAGAACCGGCGAATGAAGATGAAGAAAATGAACAAAGAAAAAACAGACAGCAAAGAACAATAGTGTGAACTGCAGTCTGAAAACAAGCATAATAACCACTAGTGACATGGACAGCACAGATGTACCACAACACAGGATCCCCCCCCCCCCCCCCCTCACTTTGTTGGATTTTGTATTAACCTTAACTTCGACATTATTTGATGCTGATTGTTATTTTCCAGTCTACAACTCTATGTTGAGGATTCAAGTAAAGGAAGGAACTTTAAATGAGATAATTATATTCAGGCTTTACTTCATAATATCTTCTTATGTTTTTTTGTAAGAGAAATTATACGAGCGCCGTTTGGATACGTTAAAAACTGTCCGAAGAAAGAGAATACTTGAATTCTTTTGAATTTCACAGATCCATAATTTATGATGTAAATGTTTTCTCTCGTGTTTATTTCCTTTGTACCTTGTTGTGCAGGTGTAGTATTTTGTACAGAAACAGAACATCTGCAATCTGACTTGTCTGTCTTGTATTTTTGTGATAGTTGTTGCTGTATTTGTGCTCTTTTTTGACTGTAGTCTACAAGTTTAATAATAGCGTGTAGATTCTGCAAATATAAACATAATCACTAAGTGCTTGTATTCTGTATTTATTGCGACGCGACGCCGATTCCGTCTTTGCGACCATAGGGATCGCTACGCGGCTGCGCAGAGGGCCTGACCAACAAAATCTCGTTCATTATCAGCTCAAGTGTTTTGTTGATTGAAAACCCACAGGAAGGTGGAGTTACAAACATCGACTGGCTACATATTCCAGGCGTTTGTATGTTTCTAAATAATTACGCCTCCCCAGTTTTTCATCTCATGCGTGTTAGCCGAAGAGCATTCATCCAAGGCCTAAATTAACTCTGCTACTGAAAATAATGGCGAGCTCGAAAACTTAAATGCAGTTTTCGCTTTAGCAAAACAGCAGTGGTTTAATCTGGCTTGTGGTTGCTTGAAACTGGCCACTTAATTTGCCTCTGTTTAAGCCTCAGCCACATACATTTACATTTAGACATACACTGGCGTTTACATCAAATATAAACACATAATTAGCCGTGTGTGACCTAGGGGAAGGAAGCGTTCTCCAAAAAGAACAAACATCCATTGGAGTTATATAATTCATTTTGCTGCTGTGTTTACGTTTTACTAATATGGGTGAGTTTCTACAGTGTAGTTTATTTAAATTGCACACAAAACATTCTTGTAAGAGCAAAATACAGGCATGTAATAGCACTGTGCCACACAGGTTATATACTATGAAAGTGCCCAACAAATAGCCTACTTGTGCAAAGGCAACAAGTTCCAACGCATTGGTTTGTAAATATTAGCCACGACCAACATATATTTTTCTAAATGAATTTCTTTCTAAAGAAGCTTAAATTGTTAGTTTTATATGCAAGCCCATAGGCGATCACAAAATGTGAAACTAAATTTCAACAGCTGAGATTTAAATGAGAGACAATTCCCCAGGTCTCGCATTTGTTTCCTGGGATAGGCCTAAATTGCCTTTTTGTGGTGGCAAACAATACAGACAGGATGCTGTAATTTCAAAGCCCAATCCAGTGCATTTCCGGTCAGCTCTGACAAAAATGCCACTTTTACAGCTCCTGTTGGAGCTCGGCTGTTTGTCTCAAATGCAGACGAACAAAGCAAACTCGACTAACTGGCTAGACGTCTGGGCTAAATTACTTTATGGTTTTAATGGACGGTGGTGGTGGACTCGTTCAAAGGGGAGTCATGCGCACTGCTCAGGAGACTTTTGCCTGATGGGCCAGCCACAGCCGCCCTGCACTTCAACACACCAGTGGTCTATTAGCCTACAACTAGATGGAAAAAAGTCGATATTTACTGTGCATAAGCGCGAGTGCTACTGAGTGCTGTTGCCTACTATGTAAGTGCATATATCGGCCATAACAGGAAAAGACTAAAACCAACAACCATTTCAAGGCTACTGGGAAACCAGAGGAGGGTGAAGACATGTAGTTAAAGGTTCGGTGGTAAACAGCTGCTTTATTTAAGGAAAAGCTTAGGGTACATATAGGTTTGAACAAATGGGGAGACCCGCCTCGCATTTGTTTCTGATTGGTGGGTTCGTGCAGGCTTAGCAGACATTTTAACACTAGATGACGCTGTTGGTCCACAATGTGAGCAGGGTTTGTGTGGAAGGGCTTTGTTACATCCCTGTGGCTTGGCTGAACAATGACGAGTGACCTACTGACGACAAAATGACATATATGGTCACCCACCGCATTTTGGATAATAAAGCACAGAGCAGCACTCCGGAATGCAGCGAGCTGGTTGCTGTGTTGTGCACAGAATGTGTGAATGAACGGGGGATTTCGTTTGATTTTTTTAATTAACAATGTTCTGGTAGTTTTTTTTTCTTTATGTTGTGAAGTGTTTCCTTTGTCGGTTTAAAAATATTCTCCACCATCTCCGTGAATTTATAAGTCAGTGGGGCTGTGGTAGTATTTTTAATTGCTACCCATTGTGCGCCCATTAAAAATACGATCACAAATGTAGACAACTGTATTTGTATTTCGATGCACTCACACAATATTATATGTTTGAATTGTGTGTCTAGATTTTTAATATTTCTTAGTTGTAGTTTTCATGGAACACATTCAAAACCACAATTTTAGTAACAACAAAAAAAAAAGATGGAGGAGCCAGAAGGTATGAAAACTTTAATAGCAGCTCATAAATAATTTTATCAATACAATAAACTGTAACATTAACAGCAGGAACAGGAGTAACATTATAGACTTAAGAGGCCTACTTATATCACACAACAACAACAAATATACATAACATACATATACAATATTATTATTAATAATAATAATAATACTAATAATAATAATAATAATAATAAGTTGCATCCAGTGCGCCCTTCATATTTTACGATGATGTGTATAAAACGTCAGTAACAGCACAAAAACCAGCCTGGCATATTTGGAGAGAGAGAGTCCGTACAACTAGTGAGCTGGGAGTCGCGATTGTAACTAAACATCCCATGTAAAATTTTATGAACTCCTTCATGTGGAAGATTTACTGCGTATCCTCGTCGGTTTTATAGGGTCAGTAAGTGGTTCCTTGTATTCAAAGGTCGTGTTTTTATTTGCGTGTGTCGGTGTTTTACAGCGCACGGTACAAGAGTGTGTCGCTCTGGCCTTTACTCCATTACACGAGGTGGATAGCTTGTTGTAAACTCAAACATGCTTTTGTGTGCGTTACTATTATTATTTTATTACT